CTTTTTATCTGTCCCATAGTATCAACAATTATGTCTTGGGCGTAGGTCTTTTATTTTCACCTAATGAATATAAAATTCTTCTTTTCTTCTGTATAAGGACCTGCCACAATTTTTTTAAACTTTGACTAAAAAAAATTATGTGCAGATACAGTACTTCAAAGAAGAATTAAGATATGGCCAAAGCAAAGAAGAAAAAGATCCCATGGTCCGTGTGATATTTTTAGAGGGAAGCCTTTGTGTTCATTGACGGCGGAGCCGAGTTTGGCTCCTAGACTTCATAAACACTGACTGGCATCTGAGGGTTTGCGATTTGCCAACCTGGCCGCCGAGCCCTGGCTAGGCCACAGCGCCGAGGCTGAGGCTGGGGCAGCCTGGGATTCGCCTCCTTGAAGGAGGGCTGGGGTGGGTGCTGTCAGAAGCATCTAGATCGGCTCCCTCGCTCTCCGCTGCGGAGGACCAGGCCCAGCCAGAGCGGTGTGCTTTGGATTCTGGCAGTTTCCTTCTCCCAGACAGTGAGAGATGATGCCGGCGTTTGTCCCCTGTCCCTGACTTCCCTGCCGGGTTTTAGGTGTGGTTTGGGGAACACAGAGTTTGTCCAGAGTCAGGTGAGCGAGGTGTTTCCTTTTGGCTTCCTCTCCTCACCTCTCTGCCGTCCTCCCTTGGCAGGATGAGTTCCACCCTTTCATCGAAGCACTTCTGCCCCACGTCCGAGCCTTCGCCTACACGTGGTTCAACCTGCAGGCCCGGAAACGAAAGTACTTCAAAAAGCACGAGAAGCGCATGTCCAAGGAAGAGGAGCGGGCCGTGAAGGACGAGCTGCTGAGCGAGAAGCCGGAGGTCAAGCAGAAGTGGGCTTCCCGGCTGCTGGCGAAGCTGCGGAAAGACATCCGACCCGAGTACCGGGAGGATTTTGTGCTCACGGTCACAGGGAAGAAACCGCCCTGCTGCGTGCTCTCCAACCCGGACCAGAAAGGCAAAATGCGCAGGATTGACTGCCTGCGGCAGGCCGACAAGGTCTGGAGGCTGGACCTGGTGATGGTGATCTTGTTCAAGGGCATCCCGCTGGAAAGTACTGACGGCGAGCGCCTGGTGAAGTCCCCGCAGTGCTCCAACCCCGGGCTCTGCGTCCAGCCCCACCACATAGGGGTGTCCGTCAAGGAGCTCGATTTGTACCTGGCCTACTTCGTGCACGCGGCAGGTAAGTGTGGTGGCGGGGATCCCTTCCACCCCGCGTGGGTGCCGCGTGTTCTTAGGCTCTCGAGGCACAGGCAGCATGCTGTGGCTGTGGGGTGGCTTCAGAGGCCAGCAAGGACGGCCAGCCCAGCCGGGCCTAGGTGAGCCAGGACCCGGGTGATGCCTTGCGGTCCTGGCGGGCCCAGGTCCCCTGGTAAGCAGAGCTGTCCAGGAACAGGTGACCAGACAGGTGAGATTCTCAACCCCCAGCTCTTGCTGAAGGGCAAGAGAATCCTTGGGAAAACCCTGGCAATAAAGAGTCTGTTTTAACTGGCCAGGAATCTACCGAAACGGCATGTAGTTCATAGTGAGGCAGCCTTGTTAGTTGCTTTCCTGTTGGGAGTGTTTTTAACCTACCACAGCCTCTTGAACCTCCTGCCAATTAAGAAGTTGAAGGTAAGATTACCATTACATTGCTGATCACCTACGAAGGAGAGATTGATTATCACATTAATCCAGAAGTCCGGCAGCTTTGTATTTAGGAATTCCTAGTGTCATCCCAAGTGGCTAAGGGAACTGACCCACTGACTTCTCCAGAGCCATGGATGGAGGGGTTAATGGGAAAAGAAACTGCCCCAATAGGGTTTGAACACATTGAGCAATCATTATTGGAACTGATGCAGTGAGTTGTTTTGATTTTTTAATAAAATGAATTATTATTTTCTAAAGCATGTTTTACCTGTGCGTGTTTCAGCATTCAGAACAGCATTCAGGATACAACTGCTGAAGCTTGGCTAAAATAATGCGTTTTTACTTTGTTCCTTTCGTGCTGTTTTAGACAAAAGGCTCATTGTGTTAACGTGAAAGCTCAGGTCTTGTGTAACTTGTTGACTTTCTATGTGTACTTATCAGTCTTGCGAGATTGCGGTCATGCCGGTCACTTGAGCCAGATGGAAGAAAGTAAGTTGTGGGGTCCTAGAGTAGGTTATTTGGGGATACATTTATGTGGGTTCTTTTTTCAATGATGAGAAAATAGATACTACTTATAAAGTCAGTACTACACTGTTTTGCAAAAATATTTTAAACTTTAAAACCATTAGCTATTTTTTAAAGAAGTCAGCTGTATTTTCTATTATTTTTTTGGTATATGATTTAGAAAGTGAACTTTTGTTCCCATCTGTCCTTACTTAAGAAACTGGAAAAGTCATCTCTGTGAGCAAGGCACATCAGCATTTGCATTCTGTTGGCAGGAGACAGATGAGTATTTTCGAAGATGTGCTCTGTAAGCATTTCCAATATTTTGGGTTTTGAAAATGTATACTTAATTATAAGTGCCTGTTGCTTTAGCCAGTTCCGAGTAGCAAAAAGGAAAAAGCAACACCTCGCAAATTATCTCTGCACAGGAGCAAGTGGTCTTTCTTTTAGCCTGTTAACTCTGTTGTTGATTTATTTGCATTTGTAAGTTCATCAGGGTACAGAAACAGTTCGGATGCTACAAGGCCTTTCAGGGAGCTGTTTTTCAAATCTTGTGTTTATCTTTTGGATATTTAGAAAAATAGCTTGTAAGTTATAGTGAACACTTACATTGACCAGGCCAGAAACTTGAGTTTGCCAACAGGTGATGTGGACCACGTGTGTCTTCCTTACACAACAGCCCCAGATGAGATGCCTGTGAGTCTTTTGCCAGTGTGAGCAGGGCCCAGTCTGCGTTTTCAGCTTGAATGTCTCCCTTGATGGGCGAAATCTCACCCTTTCCGCCCTTCCCACAGCGAGTGTCGCCTCTGTCGAGACCACTTGTCATTCTGCTTTGCTTCAGACCCTTGAGCTGGCACAGTGCTGTGGCACCTGAGGGGTGACGTGGAGAGACGTGTGCGTGTGGAACGTTGTCAGGGGATCACATGGCATGTGCACCGCCTGTGAGAGATTTATTGATGGCAGCGTGGATCAGACTGGCATCGAGTTGGTTTTCCTGAGTCGCCCAGGTCCCCGGGAGGAGCCTGAGCCCAACCAGGTGTCTGGCAGTGGTGTGCATGGGTCCACAGTGTGGCTGTGTCTCTGTGTCTGCAGCAGCAAGGGGACAAAAGGCAGTCGCGAGGGCCTTTTGTCTGAAAATATTTCGGATTTGACTCAGTAGATCTAGAGACCTGTCGTTTGTGGAAGGGAGGCTGCCAGTATAAATAGGAGGTGGATTGGTCAACGTACAAACAGCTGATTTGACAGGCATCTGTTTTAATGCTGAAGATTTGTAAACACTAAACAATGTTTTTACCTCCTTAAAAGTTTTGAGAACTTGCCAGTATTGGCAGGAGGCAGAGCCTCTGAGACAAGCTTCCTGATCATGCCAAAACCATTGTGGCCTCCTCACCTAGGGTGGATTTTTTTCTTTATTTCATTGATACATTGTGTTTTTTCCTTCTAAATTGCTGCCTCCCCCCTCCCCCGCCATGGCCACAGAAATGTGATCTTTTCCTTCTGAACATGGGCACAGTAATTGTTGCTTCATGCATTTAGATTGTTCCCTGGTAAAAAGTGACAGTCTTCTTGAGTACGGGAAGCAAATGCACGATCAATCTTTTTTTAAAAAAAAGGGGGGGAGATTATTCTAAGGATTACTGAGATGCTAAAATATAATAGAAAGCTACGTTCTAAAAGTTTTCCTCCTAAATTCACTGAGTAGAATTATGTGAATTTTGTGGCTGATGTAACAAATATAGTGAAATTGGAATGATTCCATGAGCTTGAAAATTTTAACTTGTTAAAAATTTAAAAGAATGAGGCCATTCCGCGTCCTTACTTTGGTCTGTCCTTGCGTTGCCCTTCCCTTGTATAATACGGTGATGCAGTGTTATGGTGTTCTTTGTGGGCACGTAACAGTAAAGCTAATTTACGGCCAGTCTTTAGCAGATGATCGGTATCAGAACCTACAATATACCCGGCACGTGGCAAGGTCACAATTTAAGTTGTTAAGGTCACAACCTTAGCCACCAGGCATTTGACCTTTTAGATAAAGTTAACCTTTGTTCATTAGTAGGCACTCAACCGAGAACTTTCTGGAGAGTTTTTCTTTTTTGAAACTGCTTCTGTATGACTTCTGGTAGTGTAATCAGATTCTAGAAGGATTCACAGTCTGGCTGGTTAAATTTTGTAAGCACTTTGACTTTGAAGGGCTGTGTCTTGGGTGGAGGTGATCCCTGTATTTACGCACAGAGCGATGTTGCCATTGTTTATATTTGGTAGTCACTACCTGGGTGGGGTGGTGAGTGCCAAAGCAGCTGTGTGGTGACTTTAAAAACTAAAATTAAACAAAGGGCATTACATTTAATGCAGCCGGGGCCTGTGCTGATTTTCAAGTGGTCCGGGCCCAAATGCTAAATTGCAATGAGCGTTTTCAGTGTTTGTAGGCGTGGAATCTCCCAAGATGAGGAATACTTTTAGCCCTCTTAAAATTCACTTTGAAAGGCTGAGAGCGACCAGAGTGGTCCGGTGACCGCTGTCACTGTTGGCCAGCTGATGACGCGGGTGGATGGCGTCCTAATGTCAGCGCGGCTGCTTGTTTTGAGATGACGTGGAAGGCTCCCTCTGCACACTGTTCTTGCACCAACACGGCACCTCCTGACTGCCCCGCCGGGGTTTGCTTGAACGGAGAACACCAGAGGTCTGGTCGTCCTGGCGCCGTACCGGTGTGGTGGTGTTGTGGATGGCTGCGTTACAGGCCGTACTGTGTGCTTAATGACGCCATCGGGAAAGCTCGTTTTCAATCAGTGAGGTCACTGCTGCATTTGCTCCGATATGCCACGTATTATTAAACCGAGAGAGAGGTGCTCCCACTGAGCTGTGGCGTAGTTTTATTTTGGCTTCGTGCTTGCCATTCCTTCATAGAGTGACAGAGAGCTGTGATGTGCAGCTCGCCAGATGGTCGTGTTGGCAGATTGAGAATTCACTTCCTACTGCGTCAGAGCAGGTGTAAGATTAGGAGTGTCTGCGTGTCTGTGCGTGTGTGGTGTGTGTGCGTGTGTGTGCACATACAGGCTGTACCCAGAGTGCTGCTTACATGGGGGACAGTTTCTTTTTTGAAAAGCTTTGGATAAGGTTATGCAGAGAAATCATTAAAATATTTTTTAAAAGGAATCATTATATTGTTATGGTTTACAATTTTATGTCAGATTAATTTGGATGATTCCTTGCTTTTTAGGTCACCTCTACATTAGTTTGAAAGAATATCACCCATCTAAAAATAAGGTGTGTTATGTACATGTACCAATCCACACAAGGAATGTAAACACATTCTACAAATGTGTATGGATAAATTTGTTTTAATTAAAAAAATAAAATGTAGTTACTATGTTCTGTTAGCAGGGCTGTGTGTGTGTTTATGCTCAAGTGTGGCACTGTAGAGTATCTGATTAAACTTTCTTAGTACTTAGCAGACTTCCTAGTGAAGGTTGTCTAGTTGGTTTACATGAGTAATAAAACACTTTTGGAGCAAAAGGGGGTACCTGGAATGCACAGTGACATTTAAAGTTGAGACAGGAAGTATTCTACCCTGTCTTGGATTCTGAGTCTCACAGTAAGTAATCTCAAGCTAAACCTTGTGGTGCATGCACATGTTTTTAGAAATTTTTATTTATCCTTTAATTCTTCAAAAATAGCCCTAGCTGCCAACAAACTTGAGGTGAACGTGGCTTTTATGCCCTGGACTTTTCAGCATAACCTGAGGGTGGTCACACTGGCCTTTGTCTGGGCCGTGGAAACAAAGTCCTTTCTTTACCTGGAAGTAGCCAGACGCTGGAGGGTGGGGGCCGTGCAGGGAGAGGCTGTGCGAGGAGCCCTGAGGGAGGCCATCGGTCCACGGCCAGGAGGTTGAGTGTGGGTTAGAATTCCCCCGTGCTGTCGGCTTCGCCTGGCCTTCATTCCGGCCTATGATGAATGGCATTAATTTAAACCTATTTAAGGCCAGTGTGGGAGAAACCACAGCCTTTGTTGTGGTCAGTGCTGCGCACAGTAGGACTGGGTGTCTCTCTTGGG